TTTTTTGAAAGAGGGAAAGAGTACGGGGCAGACAGAGAGGGAGAGAGAAAGAATCCCAAGCAGGCTCAGCACTGTCAGTGCAGAGCCTGACACAGGGCTCCAACTCACAAACTGTCATGACCTGACTCAGATGCTTAACCAACTGAGCCACCCAGGCTCCCCATAATGTACTCTTAAAACAGTATATTTTCATTCCTTCCCATTCCTTTTTGCCACTTTTGTGATTTATTTTAATTCTATGTGTGTATTAAATCCCAGAGTATGTTTTATTTTTATTTTAAATTGCTATCTTTTAGTGAAACTTAAATATGATTTTTTTAAAGATCTTTATATTTCCCAATGTATTTCCCATTCCTGGCACTATTGCTTTATACAGATCAGGGTTACCATTTGGTATCATTTTTCTTGTACTGAAGAACTTCCTTTAACATTTCTTTTAGTAAATGGTTGCTGGCAATACCTTTTCTCAACTTCTGTCTTTAAAAGTCTGTGATTTGACTTTAATTTTGAAAAATAGTTTTGCATACATGCACCCCAATGTTTATAACAGCATTATCTACAGTAGCCAAATTATGGAAACAGCCCAAGTTGTCCATCAGCTGATGAATGAATAAAGAAGGTGTGGTATATGTATACAATGGAGTATTATTTGGTCATAATAAAGGATGAAATCTTACCTTTTGCAATGACCTGGATGGAGCTAGAGAGTATTATGCTAAGCAAAATAAGCCAATCAGACAAAGACAAGTACCATATGATTTCATTTATGGAATTAAAGAAACAAAACAAATGAGCAAAGGGGGGAAAAAGAGAGAGAGGCAAACCAAGAAATAGACTCTACAGAGAACAAACTGATGGTTACTGGAGGGGAGGTGGGTGGGGAACGGGTTAAATAGGAAATGGAGATTAAGGAGTGCACTTGTTTTGATGGCACTGGTGCTGTATGGAAGTGTTGAATTACTGTATTGTACACCCAAAACTAATATTACGTTGTATGTTAGCTAACTGGAATGTAAATAAAAATTTTAAAAAGTAATTTTTCTGGATATAGAAGTCTAAATTGACAGGCTTTTAATCACTTTAAACAATGTTTTTCTATTGTGTTTTGGCTTCATTTCTTTTGAGAAGTCTGTGTTATTTTATCTTGGTTCCTCTGTTTTTTTAAAAAAAAGTATTCTAATATTTTTAAATTTATTATTCATCTTAGAAACTTGGCAACAATGTTCCTTGATGTGGTGTTCTCTGTTTGCTATGCTTGGAGTGTTTTTGAACATATTTAAATATGTGATATTATCGTTTCCATTAAATTTGAAAGATTTTCAGCCATTCTTCAACTATTTTCCATGCCTCTTATACCCTCCTCCATTTGGAACCTCAGTTGCGTATGTTAGACTATATAATCTTGACCTGTTGTACACTGAAGGTTTATCATTGTATTTTTTGGAGTCTTTTTATTTTCTGTATGCTTTTGTTTAGGTAATTCTTAATTGTATCTTCAGGCACCTCTTCTGTACAATCTAAAATGCTATTAATTCCCATCTAATAAACTTAGCATTTTGGATGTAAGCTTTTCATCTTTAAAAGTTCTAATTCTTTTAAAAATCTTTTATTTCTCTTTATGTTTATATTTCTCTTTATATCTTTAAAAATATATCTGTAATAGTCGTTCTTTAAAATGTTTATGCTGAAAACTTATTTATTTATTTTAATATTCATTTATTTGGGGGGGGAGAGATATAAAGATGTTTTAACTTATCACATAGTAGAATCGCCATTCCAGAAGAATGTACTATCTTTATCCTCTGACTTCATACACATCTTGATATGCCCCTAGATTTAGAACTTCTCTACTTGGCAAAACACACCAATAGAGGCAGTTTTATTTTGCTTTTAATGTTTTATTTCCAAATCTTAAGTTACGCTGTAGGTGATACAGGACTTACTTGATACATGTTTACATGAATGTTTTTTTGAAGGGAGAGTATGTTTCAAATTCTAGCAACCATGTGGAGTCACTTTTTTTTTTTTTTTTTTTTTTTTTTTTTTTTTTTTTTTTTTTTTTTTTTCATTTCCAGAATGAGGCCCAGGTTAGCTGCTACAGTGACCTCAAATCCTTCAGTGCCTTTTCTGTTTGGTATTGTGGATTCCTAGCTGGCGTAGTTAAAACACGGTTGTGAAGGACAGTTGCAGTCCTCTGAGTAAGGACTTGGTTGTTTAGGACTTACCAGTTGTTCTGTTAGCCCACAAATATTCTTTATTCCTTGCATTTGTGTCAAGTGAGTTGTTGTGAATACAGATGTACTGATGTTATCAAGTGTAACATAAAGCACTGATTTCACTTACATTTGGTTTCTACTAAAAGCATTGATTTTTCTTTGCCATTTTGCAGTACCTTCTCCAGGCAAATTCCGCTCCCCTGCAGCACCGTCTCCTTTGGCTCTCCGGCAACCAGTAAAAGCATTTAGTAACCATGGCTCTGGTTCTCCTGGTAGCCAAGAAACAACACAGCTCACACAAAACACCTCTTCACCTGGGCCGCCCATGGTTCAGAACACAGTCCCAGCAAATCCTCCCCACAATATCAACAGCACTACTTTAACCAGACCTGCAGGGACAACAGCGATGAGAAGCGGCTTGCCCAGACCCAGTGCCCCTTCTGCTGGGGGTATACCAGTGCCTCGCAGCAAACTTGCACAGCCTGTGCGCAGGTAAGCAGCAGATGTTCTGTTCCAGCAGTCTTGAGCATAGGAAAGTGGGTAGACTGGAATCACTCCCCTCACCGCTTGTGGTAGCAAACATAGAGTGCTACTAGGTTCCCATTAGAGTCTTCGTAGAATCTGAATAAAACATTACTTTATTGTTTTAAAGAAATCATCACTTAAGACATCGGGGTATCATACCACTTTGGTTCAGATCAGATTTGCTCAGATACCTAACATGATTAGGCATCTCCAAAAACTCCTAGAAAAAAAAATGTTAGAACCACTCAATTTGGTTGTGATATTTGTTCATCTTGAATATAATGTTACTCAGTAAAGATAAAGAAGCATATCAGAGCCTAGAGCGAGATTTAAGACAAAACTTATAGCTACCAAATCTGAGTATAATCCAGGAGGGTGGTTTTCAAACTTTGAAAAGGCTTTCATCTCGTAAGTGTTTAAACTGAGTTACCCACATCTTTGTCACTGTCAGATAAATTACATTTCTGAATTCAGTGGTAGAGTGCAACAGCTACACTGCTAAATAACTTCTATGGACCTTAAGGCACTTTTACAATAGCATGAACATTGAACTGTGGCTATCCTTATTTTTCAGAAGAGAATATAGAAATTTAATGAGGTGAAGTAATTTGCCTGAGACTACACGATAAAAAGGCTTTCAGTTCTAAGTATGTCTGACTGAAAAGTCCATTTAAGCACGGTGCCATTTTACCTCTCTAATTATGGTGATGCTAAGTCTCTCCTATCACAGTCATCACTCTGCCCCCCACCCCTTTAATTAATTAATTAATTAAAAGTTGGTGATCCATGCTGTTGGAAGAAATGAGAGTCTTCCTTTCTTTTACTGTAGTGGCTGTGTTAACAAAAAGATGTTAGTGAAGTCACCTGACAGCCAGTAAAACTTGAAAGTTGTAGAAATGCCAAGGGTGGGACTTGTGTGATGCAAATAAGCTGTTTAGACTTTTGACCTCAGTGATCCCCTGGAACAACCTTCGTGGATCAGGGTGCCTCCTACAAAGTAATTAATATATATGGTAACATTTCATGAAGCCTTTTAAATCACTTAATGAAATTGCTTTATTTCAGATCCTTGCCAGCTCCTAAAACCTATGGTAGCATGAAAGATGACAGTTGGAAAGATGGCTGTTACTGACCAGCAGAGATGAGAATGCAGAGGTCCACAGCTTCATGGATACCCCTTCACCAGGCTAAAAGACAACTTTTATATGCAGACTGTTCAGATAAGACTCTGGGGATTGATAAATCCCAGCCCTCTCTGTCTTAATTAGCACAAACTGACAGAGATGATCAAGCAGCACTTTAATGACATTTAACATCAGATGTGTTTGGTAATCATGCAATCACTCTCCATGGAATCACATTTAGTTTTGTTTAATAGAAACTAAGTTGATTTTTTAATATTTGACAGAGGCCAATATCTGGGCAAAAAACTAACGGATGCCAAAGAGAAATGCCCATTTGTAAATGAGAGAATACCTTTGTGCACAAGAAAATGGTGAATTCAAGCTATCCAAAACTTCACGTTCAACCTAATTTACTGTATAAATAGTATCAATAAATATTTGTGTTAATGAGAACTAATATCCTGACTAATTATGTAAAATGTTTCACTAGTACTCCAAGAAACTAGATTGAGATAGAAGGGAGGGTGGGGGTAGGAAGAAATCTAGGCTAGGGATTTCAAACGTGATACCTAAATTTGTGAGAATTCTATAAATTATTTTTTGCAGATTCACTGGAAAAACTGTCATTTTGTTTAACCTTACGTTTTGGATGTAGCTCACGTATCACCGCCGCGAGATAATGTTACACCGTGCATCCACCACGTTGCATTGACACATCGGACTTCTGTGTGTTTGTTTTGATTGCCAAAAGGGCTTAATGTCAGTTGTACAATCTTTCTAAACTTTATAGCTCCTGGCTCAGGAAAGATAGCCTTTGCTATTGAAGCCAACTTCTTCACATGCTATTATATCTGTTAGAGAACTAGGAGATCATGTTTTTATTAACAGGTTACCATGATAGGAAAGAGCAAGTAGTATGTGTCTTTAATCTTGATATAAACATCACCGCCTCAGTGCTTACAACCTGGAACAAAACCATACAATGAGAGAGAGGGGGAAAAAAAATCTATGCACTTAACTTACAAAATCTCTGGTAATGACAGTTGTATTGTTACTATTGACACAACGGTCTGTTATGTGGTAGGAAAGTATAGTCTGCTGAATCCTACTTGAGTTGATCCACTTTAAACTAGGTAACTGTATAAAACATCCTTGAAAATACTGTCCCTTTTGACTTAGATTCTGCCTTACGTTAATTTTTACATTTTTGGTAACAAAGGAAACCCACTATATATGACTCTAACCTGTTAAATACTTGCTGTCTAGTGGCCCTTAGGTATATCCTGGAAATCACTTATTTTGGTTTTCCTAGACAATTACCAGACTAAAACTTTCTTCAGCAGGCTTCTCCTTTTTCATGGTGAGGTCTGTTTTGAAATATTTAATTTAAATGGCTCTGAAATATTGGCTGTCAGGTCACCTAAAGGATTTGAGCGATTTGAACGAAAGTTCATTTCCTGTTAGTCAAAGACATTCTGTAAGTTGGCAAAAGATACTGAGAGAGAAATGAGAAACTTGATCTTCAGGATAGCGTTGAGGTTGATAGGTTGAGAAATTGATAAAACTTTTAAAACCAAGACCCCCATTCTGCCATGACACCTTGGTATTTTTTATTAGCTTGACCAATAGGGAGTCATTCAGTTAGCCCAGCAGCTGGAGATTGAAACTGCCAGTGCTAATGTATTTTGGTGTACAATGCAAGGAAGAAATTTTATCCTTGACTATGAGGGTGATGGGTGTGGGTCAGGAAAGGATGGCGCCAGAATTCCACATGATGATGTACTTAAAAAATGTTGCTTTTCAGAGGAAGATAAAGAAAGCATCTGCTTCGGGTGGGGGGTATCTCATGTAAAAAATCTTAAGTAAAACGACTAGCCACTGTCTCTTTTTAAAATCATATATACAACACAATAGGTCTCAGTTTCAGTGCAACATTGCAAAAGAAAAATATGCTGCAATCTAATAATTACAAGGAATTTTAACTCTATTTGAAATACCCATTACATTAAGTTAGATTATCTGTTTCAAAAGGAGTATTCAGGTTATTTAACTTTGTTTTTAAATGGCTGCATCAGAAAAAAAGTCTATTTTTTTTTTATTAAAATATTTCATCACTTGTTAAAAACGTATTTGGATCTGAGTTGGGTAAAACATTATTTTACCTGCTGTCGTACTACCACAGACTATTGGCTTTTAGGTTCCTAAAGAGAAAAATTGCCTTTTTACTAGAAAGCCTTTGTGTATTGCCAATTTTTCTGTTTGGGAAAATCTAAGGATTCACTGTGGTTAGTCTTACAGAAGAAATGTGGATTTGATAAACTAGTGCCTATGATTTTAACTTATGTTTGATATATAGTAGTAAAGGTTTTATGAATGTTGATTATTTTTCTGTGCCAACAGCCCAGAATTGTCACTTATATGTAAGCAGAAGGCTATGAGCTCTGCTTCCAAAGTTATTTAATTTTCTCAGTGTTTGAATGTTATTTTTTTGTAAGTGTGTTAATAAAAGTGTAAAAAAATTGGAAAAAAATATAAATATTCTTAACTCAAGCATTTGCTGGATCATTTTTCTACAGAACTTGTTTGTATAATATAAAACACTCTCTGAAGAGTTGACTTTTTTCAGTTTTCATGCCCTGGAAATCACATTTTGTAAAACTGGGGACCATTCATAATTGTCAGATACTTTTTAAAACTATCTCAATACATCACTTTTATAAAAAAAGTTTTTTTGAAAGGAAATTAGATACATATTTGTCCCCAGACATTTGTATAACTCTAGAATGATCTAGACTATGTATGTTTAAATTTTTATTGAATGTACAGACGTCCATTTTTGACATTACGCATGGTCCTTTTTAGATCACATGAAGTTTGATTTGCAAACATTTCTATAGCTGAACTTGTATGTGTGGTTGCCTCCTTAATAAACAGCCTGACCATAATGTTTATTATTAAATTTATACTTGTTTTTTCAAGTGTTTTATTAATTTCTGGATATGGTAAGATTCCCCACCCCCAGTTGCCTACAATCGGTTTTAATAAATTTCTCAGCTGATTTTTTTAAACACACAGACCCAAGTCATATTTCCCTTTCAAACTTGATCTTCATGAGATGGAATATATCATGTTATAGTTTCCTTGTCCTATTTATTTCATATTTGGATTATTTGGAGTATATTTATAGTTTACTTGAAATTGGTAGCTTCTTAGAACTTTGTCACCTGCTACGAATTGATACTACTTTCAAAAAGCTAGCATATATAAAATAAGCAAAAAGCTATTATATATACGAGTTTCCAAAAGGAAAAAATTAATACATTTTCAAGCCAAATGTATTTATTTAGTGAATCATGTATATTTTTCTCTTATGGAAAAATTGGAAAATATCCAAAATTATACAGTTTAATTAGTTCCCCACATTCCTTTTGGAAGTTTTTACTGTCCTTTTTGTTACAATTGGTTTCATTAATACAGCATAGAGAAATGATACCGTGTTTGAATTTTTCCTCAAGCCAATCTAAAAACTTCTAAGAACCATTTAAAATGAAATGCCAGTGTACTTGGAAATCAGTGAATGAGAAGTTTACTTAAACTTGTTATATGCCCAGTGCAACAGGAAAACCCACACAGAGGTTCTTATGAAATATTTGCTATATCAAAGGGTAGCTTTGAGTTACAAAAGCAGCAGATTACCTGATACAGAAATTAACTTTGAGGAGAGGTTGTGAATGGGATGTTCACATGAGCATGAAGCTAAAGTTAACAACCCTAATACATTTTTAATGATCCTAAAGATAAGTCTGAGTGGACTAAATCGTATTCTGGTTGCTAGTCTGAAAATGGAATAGATTTCACTCATGGACCTTACTTAATACAGCTCAGCTTAAAACTATGTTAAGTGCATGCCAATCTCAAGCCAAATCTTTATTGAAACTGGGTGAACTTAACGTTTTTCTCTTAAAAAAACAAAAACAAAAACAACCTTTATTTGATTTTGAAAGTAATAGAGACTCATTGCTTCAAAAACCGAAAATATTAAGAAATATAAATGATGTGGGGCCTGTGGGTGGCTCAGTCGGTTAAGTGTCCAATTCTTGATCTCTGCTCAGGTCATGATCTCACCATTTGTCAACATTCATGAGATGGAGCTCCCCCCGGGGCTCTGCACTGACAGCAGGGAGACTGCTTGGGATTCTCTCTGCCCCTCCCCCACTTGGACGCATGTGCTCTCTCTCTCAAAAATAAACAAACATTTAAAAATAATAAATGATTCCACATATCACCTTGGGATCCTGCAGTCTCACCATCCAGAAACAAATATTTAAGTGCTCACCTAACATGTTTATAAAATGCTAAAAAGGGGGCACCTGGATGGCTCAATCAGTTGAACGTCCGACTCTTGGTTTTGGTTTGAGTCATGATCTCGTGGTTTGTGAATTCGAGCCTTGTGTCGGGCTCTGCATGGACAGCGCAGAGCCCGCTTGAGATTCTCTCTCTCCCTCTCTTTCCTTTCCACTCCCCCGCACACACACACTCTCCCTCCCTCTTTCAAAGAGACACTTTTTTAAAAAGTGCCAAATGGAAGGGTAGAACGTCTTCTGTTTAGGATGGGAAAATATTTTATTTTTTATTTTTTTAATTATTTATTGTCAAATTAGCAAACATACAGTGTGTAAAGTGTGCTCTTGGTTTTTGCGGTAGATTCCTATGGTTCATCGCTTACATACAACACCCAGTGCTCATCCCAACAAGTGCCCTCCTCAATGCCCATCACCCATTTTCCCCTCTCCCCCACCCCCTCCATCCACCCTCAGTTTGTTCTCTGTATTTAAGAGTCTTACGGTTTGTCCCTCCCTCTCTGTTTGTAACTACTTTCCCCCTTCCTTTCCCCCATGGTCTTTAGTTAAGTTAGAATGAGAAAGTATTTTAATAGGAGTTTGCTTTTGAACAGAAGTGTACATTAACTGGTATTGAAAGCTTGACCCACAATTCTCTATTCCTGATTGTAGATGTTCCCTGATGTTAAGAAATCCATCATATATATTTTGTATGTGTATAACAGTTGGGTGTTCTTACACAAAATTTTACTATAGAAAACTAGAGAAATAACAGTTAAATTATAAAAGAAGAAAAAGCGCTTAATTCCATAGGTAAGCAACCACTTAAATTTGAGGATGTTGCCTTTTTTTTTCTTCTGAGGATATTGGGATCATATTCATGGTTGATACTGTAACTTTTTTTTTTAAGTTTATTTATTTATTTATTTATTTTTGAGAGAGACAGAGTGAGTGGGGGAGGGGCAGAGAGAGGGAGAGAGATTCATGGTTGATACTGTAACTTTTTTTTTAAGTTTATTTATTTATTTATTTATTTATTTATTTATTTATTTATTTATTTATTTTTGAGAGAGACTGAG